AAAAAAAGAATAAAGAATTAACTTAAAGAGTTAAAAGCAAAGCAGTAATCTTTTTTATTTTACCAAAAATTTTTATAGCTTCAGCAAAAAAATTGGATTCTGCCGATGAAGAGAAGGACGATTTGGTCACAAGAAAAGTGTCATTTGGAAGTGAAGTAACTTCGGCCACCAGAAATCGAGGTCATTCGCACTTTTGGTTCCCTAGAATAATTCATTTGCACCATTAACCTTCTCATAATCACACCTTATAATAACATTCGGTTAAGTAGTGCTTAAATTACAGTCAGGCATTAGTTTACATCATCAAACTAATATGCATGAAATGTAAATACTAAATTAAAACACCCTGTGTTGAAGAAACTTGACTTGTTGCTAAACTGTATCAAATCTTGTGCTTAAAATTGATGATTGTGACTCAATTTTGATTTTTTCTTGTTAATAACGATAAATTATCCGAATATAAATAATGCTTAAGATTATATAAGTAAAATAAAGTAACTAGTTCTGTGCTTCATTCTTTCAGTGCATACCTTCTTCAAATATCATGTCAATTTTTTCCTTTAAATCTTTAACACTGAATCTCTTTCTTTGTGCCTCTGAATATGTCCAAAAACAGTTTTTTCTCCTACAAAATGCTAAAGATAACGAATTACGTCTATTGAATAATCTAATATTGTTTTTTCTCTTTCTGATTGTCAGAAACGTTCGCACTAATGTCTGTAATTTTCCTTAACTAACGCTACTTTGTTTTAATATTTTTATATTGCAAACAGTTTCAACAAACTGTGTTTCGGCACTTAATTTGAGAAACTATCTGGTTAGTGCATGCCAAGTTTGTCGTTTACTACCGTTACTGACGTTCTCAATGTTTTTTGGCATCTTTTTGAAGGTTTTTTTTTTTTGGACATAGTTTAAGGTCTGCAAAATTACATCAAACATATCAGTCTACAGAATCATTCTAGAGAATGAAAAACAGGAATGCTACTGTATAATGTTTATTGAAAAGCTAATAAATCTGCACTAAAAATTAACCAGGAAAAAGTTGTGCAAAAAATATTAATTTTTAGGAACTGATGCAATATGTGACATATTTTTTGGTACCGAACTTTCTCCTATACTTTACACTGTCGATGTAAAACATTTTATTACATATCGTATAGCTTTTCCACTCTGGGCTTTATATGATGTATCAGCAATATATCATAACTCTGGTCTTTACGGGAATGTTAACGGTAAGAAAATAAACTGCAGCACATAATAACACTTATCATTTTGAAAGGTTCTGCAATCGTCAGCAAAATTTCTGCAAACCAAAATTAGACTTATATTTGCAATAAATTTATTGCCATATACCGTCAGTTGTAAAGATTTATCTCCATCTTTTCTAGTATGTCTTATTGGTTGTGTTGTTCTTCACTTGACATACATTGGTCGTTCAGAATGGTTTGAATACCTGCACTACACAAGACTCGATTTTCAATACGACAAAGCTGGTTAGTTTGTTGTCAAGTATCAAATTGCTAAAAAAATACTTTAATTTTTACTTTATACTTTATTTCTAAGAAGGTTATTGCTAATTGTTATTTGTCTTACTTTATTCAGCTATGTTAAACAAAAAAAGTCACCAAAAAAATTTAGGATTCTATCGAATATGGGGTGTTTTGGTATTTTTGCCAGCACTGTACGTCACACCCGTGACACTTATTGCCCAACAAAAACAAACTATAATGTTGCCGTTGATGGTCTTCTTTTTTATACTCAGCTTAACATCTATTTTTATCAACGCAGATATTGATAGGCAAAGGTTCCAGTTCCGACAATCAAATGGAATGATAAAAATTTGGGGTAAAGATCCGTTTTTTATAAATGCAAAATATCGGCGAGAAAACGGTGAAACTTCAATAAACCTCTTATTAGGCAAGTTTTTTATTGCTTGGCTTTTTTTTCTTTCTGCATTGCTATCATTCTTGATTTAATAAAATGATATAATAAAAACAAAGGAGTCTAATATTTCTACTTTAATTAGTAATACATAGAATATCTTTGTGTTTTCAAGGTAGCGGATGGTGGTGCTTCAGTAGACATCTCAATTATCTCATGGAGTGGTTGAGCTTTGTGTTTTGGACACTCATACAAGGCGAATCAACATTCCTCTCTTACTTACCTCTCGTATTTCTTGGTGTATTTTTATATTTTAGAATGAGAAGAGATGAAATGAGGTTAGCTGAGAAAAGACTGACATTTTATAGTCTCATTTTTTTTTTTTGTTATATTTTTCTAACGCTTAACTTCTTTTTGATTTACTAAATTTTCCAAAAGAGCTATCTGCTGCAAATTACCATTGATTATTGCTCATTTAAATTTTGCTATTATGTTGTATAACCATTCCATCAACATTTTTTCAGGTGTTTAGCGAAATATGGTCAATACTGGTTGCAGTACACGAATCGTGTTCCGTTTTTATTAGTCCCTAATGTGTACTGAAGATAAGCGAATTGAGGATTTCTATGTGCAACTACTTTTTTTACAGTCCGACAGCATGGAAGTGATATGGAAGAAGTTGGAAGTCAAAACGGCATGACGATGTATAACGAGACGGAACACGAAGCGAATCAGATGTCGGCTGTCGCCTATGAAAAACCTTGTGATATAACAACTGGTGTGAATTGATAACGTGATTAAATAATATTGAAATATTTGAAACATTTTATTCATTTTTCACCTTCAGGTTTTCGAATTCTTTGTAAAAGTTAAGCTACACGTCCATAAAACTAGCTCACAACAACACTCAACACTTATGTACAACATGGAACTTACATAGCCGATCATTGCACGAAAACAAAGTACAAAAAATCTTACTTAAACATTGTTTAGATTTGTTTTTCATTGTATGTGTGCTAACCTTTTTATAAACATATTCAGAAGAATCTGCTCAATAAAGGACTAAATTTAAGAGAGAAAAAACATGAAACACTGTTGAAAAGCCAGACCACTGAAGCTCAAATGTGTCATAAACTCAACTTTCGCGCTAGATAAATTTCCGGGTTATTTCGATAGGTCTAACATTTTGAGTTTTCTTAGCCACTTAATTAATAAATAAATCTGGTACACTGCGGTAGTTTCTCACATTATTCATAAAATTTATTACCTAAAGTTGTAATAGGATGCTATCAGGATGCTTCAGTCAACGGATAGCCAAACAAAATTACAGCGATGCTCAAGAGGAGAAAATTCAACTGAATAATTGACCCTAATTCACTGATGAAAAGTT